AAGCATCATAATTCTTCTCCATATAGATCTAAATTGAATGGCGCAGTCGAAACGGCCAACAAAAACATCAAGAAGATTGTGCAGAAGATGGTAGTAACCTATAAGGACTGGCATGAGATGTTACTGTTTGCTCTACATGGCTACCGCACTTCAGCTAGGACATCAACTGGGGCAACTCTCTTTTCCTTAGTCTATGGCATGGAAGTTTTTTTGCCAATGGAATTTCAGATTCCCTCACTAAGGATTATGAATAAAGTAGGCCTAGGAGAAGACGAGTGGATTCAGACGAGACTGGATCAGTTGAACTTGATCGATGAAAAACGACTGGCCGCTGTTTGTTATGGTCAGACGTGCCAAAAACGTATGATCAAGGCTTTCAACAAAAAGATCAAGCCTCGAGTATATCAAGCTGGTGACTTGGTGATAAAGCGCATTATTATGCCACAAGGCGACCCCAGAGGCAAATGGACCCCCACCTACGAAGGGCCATTTGTTGTCAAGAGAGTGTTCTCTGGCGGTGCCATGATGCTGACTACCATGGATGGTGAAGACTTCCCACATCCTATAAACCCTACACAGGTTTCTTCCTTCCAAGATGCAGTTTTACACGGACTCATCATCAAGAAACCCTACAGAGGTTCCTTCTTTCCAAAATGAAGTTTTACACATACTCATCATGAAGCAACCCTACACAGGTTCCTTCTCAGGAAATTTCAAATGAAGTTTTACACGGACTCATCATCAAACAACCCAACTTTCCAATACAGTTCAGATGCGCTCCAGACACGGACGCCATGCTGGAAATCATCCAGTTCCAGCTTATAGATACAATCCAGCAATCACCTCTAGATGGCATCTTTAAGCCCATCTCTACAACTATCCGTTACCTCTCCAAGTGGCATCTTTAAGCCCATTCCCCATATAATAAACTAACACATCCTCGAGTGCAAATTTTCTGGGAACTTTAGTGTTCAATCATCTTTCACCTTCAAGTCACGAATGGCAGATTTACCAATCTAACTCTTCAGGTGAAAGAAGATTGAACAGGGGCAGCTGTTGTACCCCAAAATTTGCCCTCTCATTCTTCAAGGCCTTTCTCATAATGATTCTCAAAATTCAAGCTTGCACAAGTACATTGGGATTTTCCAGCACCAGAGTTAAGAGGAAGCTGTCAAAAATGGAGAAAATAGATAAAAATAACATTTTGACGAATTTGGAGGAAAATAGGTCTCCTTCGATTCAGCCCTCTTCGACTGGACTTTGCACCTCCTTCGATTGCTCAAAAGTTGCTGCTAGCGTGCCTCTTTCGTCTGGGCATGTGACTTCAAATAGGTCTCCTTCGATTCAGAAGGAAATGATCTTCATACAAGCTTCAATTGAGTTTTTATTTCCCTTTGAAACAATGTCCTTCGACTCAGGAATTTCCTTCGACTCAGGAATGTCCTTCAACTCAGGAATGTCCTTCGACTCAGGAATTTCCTTCGACTCAGGAATGTCCTTCAACTCAGGAATGTCCTTTGACTCAGGAATTCCCTTCGACTCGGGAAGTAAAGGCCTCCTTTTGGTTTTCTTCAATTCAAAAAGTCAATAATATTTTGAAAGCTTCCTTCGATTTAGAAGTTAATAACCTTCTGAAAAGGGCCATTTGAAGAACACACAGTTGGTTCATTCGAAGGACATACAACTGGTGAAAACGAATGCTGTGTTGTTCTAGTCTGGTCGAAAGGTGTACAAAGATGGAGGATTCGACTCAAAATATCAAGTTGAACATTTAGACCCATAGGCTAGGCTACGTGTTTTCCCTTTTCAGGCCTCAAACCTATGACTCACCATATACATAATTGTTTATGTAAGTTAAAACAGGCCTTTACCCATTTGTTGTCCAAGACCACTTGCACTTAATAGTATAATACTACCTTTCAGAAAAGTTTGTCTTGAGCCTTGCGCCTATTTTCCTTCAGAAGGAAGCAACCCATCTGAACTATTCATACTGCTTTTATGGCACAAGTGGACATTTACTTTCCAGCTGAGCCTTATTTTATTATTTTTGCTCCCCAAGCTTCCCAAAAGCCTTTCTCTATAAATAGAGAGTTCATTTGCACAAAGAAGGAGAGGATCTTTGGACCAGAGGAACGAATCCCCCAAATTTTCTCAAACACAACAAAAAACTCTCAAGTTAATCAACACTTGAGAAATAAAAAAAACCCAGAATCCCAAACACTCACCTCTTTCGATTCTGAAGAACACCCCACACATAGAAGTTTGTTCAAACCCAAAGACAACCTTCTGTGACAACCCTTCGAACCAAAAGCTAACCCCCTGTGACTACTCTTGGAATTCCAGATACGTCCAGGTAGCAGTTCAAGTTCGAATCCCACACACCAGCTTTGAGGTAAGTCTTTCTGACTTTAATTCTTTAATTTCAAACATCTTTATTGATTCATCTACTAAATCAACATGTAGTAATCATGGCCTTCGATGTTAATCTTTTGTGTTTTCCTTTAAAGAACTAATCTGTACAGTCCCCTAAAAATGTTGGAATACAAAATATGCACGCTTCGACACACTTGCTTCGATGCACACACATGCTTCGATACAGACATGTTCAACATACACACACTTGCTTCGAATACACTGACCTGCAGGCTCAGACAAAAGTCACCCCCTCACTGCTTTCAGTCCCTAGTCGAAGGAGGCATCCAGAAGGCACACCTGCACTAAGTCCAGGCCCAAACAAAAGGCATTCCCTCACTGCTTTCAGCCTCCAGTCGAAGAAGACAATAAGGCAGAACCAGAAGGCTTCGCCATACACTGACTTCCAGGCCAATCGAAGGACAGAACCTCACTGGTGCTAGCCCCAATCGAAGGAGGCCAACAAAATGCAAGTCGAAGGGTGCTACTGCCTGGGTCGAATAGCTCATTTTCTTTCCTTTTATTTTGTTTTTTGCCTTTACGTTTTCTTGCCTTTCAATATGGTTGTAATAGTGTAGGATATTTATTTCCTGCATTTTTATCGCTTTATACAAATGTTAGCAACTAGGATGTATGGTAAGATAAAACCAACAAATAGGCCACCCTAATCCAAGACTAAATACATGCAATCAAATACACTTAGCACACATGCACCCTTAGGGTAATTCCACTTGTTGCCTTATAAATGGCCATGTTATGCATGTGGGTGTAATACCCCAAATTTGTCCTACCCTTCTACTTTTATTTGGTTTACGCATTATCGCACTTTTCTCATGTACATATTTCCATTAGGTCATTTAACATTGCATACATTCACTAACAACATAATTTGGCATGGAATCAGTAATATGGTGGAATTAGGGTTTTTATGGCGTTGACAGTCCTCATCTTCACTCAGGCTTGAATCAGTTGGTTTCTTCGACAATTATGGTTTGAAGATAGGGTTTTTGATGCATGGCTATTATGGACTTCTTTCTTATCAAGCTACAAGGGCATCTTCACCATGGGCTTTTAAACCATCAAAGTGCATCTCAAGGGATCTCAGAACCTTGTGATCATCGTCAGTTATATGCTTCTAATTGTTCCTATCTACAAGATTTTCTCCGTGACATTAACTTAAAGATCATTGGTTGTCTATTGAGGTGCATTGGTGGAATGGATTACAAAGTTTAAATCGTGGTATAAAGATGAAGTGGTGATTGAGATACTAGCGTGTTGTTTGAGATACAAGTTAACGTGGATGGAAGAGTTGAAATAGGGGTTTTCATAACGATTCAAACTCGGTTGAAGTTCATATTAGTATTAAAGTGAAAGAGGTATTTACTAGGAAATCAAGTCACAATCAAGTTTAAGGTTCATTCAATCATTTGAGGTTATTAAAGCTTGGTGATCCATTCATAAATGTCAAGGGAAGTTTGATTATTCAAGACCTTGATGGATCAATGTCCATGACTCATCTAGAAGCAAATACAAAATTAGAAACGAGAGAGAAAGCTACTTGAAGTATTCGGATTTTTGCCATTCGAACTTGAAGGTTCTCGTTATATTACAAAGTCATCATCATTTTTTGTCAACATAATTACAAAAGAAAAGAAAGGAATTAACGAAAGGGAAATTCGCTTTGAGTATTTGAAGGTTGCCATTATACTATCAAGTATAAGATCATTTCATGGCACCTAATATATTATACCAAGGCAATATCAAGTATCAATAAACATCCATCACATAATACGGTACAAAATTTTATTTACAACTTGGTGACTGCTCTCTCAGATTTTTATGCCTTCATTCATTTTTGCTTGGCTTGAGAAGATCTCCATAAGTCCGTCTCGAGTTGTTCTTGCTCTCCACCCCAAGTCTTGTCCTGTATCCAAGACTAAGTTATGCCAAACAACAAACATGCTTTGAGGCTTGGAACCAGCCATGTCCTGCATTTAATCAAACAGCAGCTCAGTAATAAATAAAATAATATATATGCATAATATAGTTTAGTGCAGTACTATCCATCTCAAACTGTCAAAACCATATCCATAACCAATTCATAACAAACTCTCAAACCTCCTAACCGCTTCTAACAGATTCATAACTAACTTTTTCCTAACTTCTATAACAATAACCAAAACTGATATAACAACTAACTCATCCCTAACCAACTAACAGTCCAACCAACCCCTGACCAATTTTCCCAACAAACTCTACAGAAAATATATAATAGAGTTCACAGCATATACAAAAGGAGATTGACAAAATAGAGGCATACGATTTCAACACAGAAAAAAGAAATTATTACCTTTCATTCTCACTTCCTCTATTCACACTTCTTCAATATCTGCAGAAGAATCACATAAAAAATTATCTCTTCTCCTCTCATCTTCATTCTTCAATTTCTGCAGAAGAGTCACCAGAAAAGTATCGGAAAAAAATCTCGCTGTACTCTTTGAGTTTTCTCCATTATCATCATCCATCTTTAAACCATACCATCAATCTTTCACCTTCAAACTAAATCTTCTCCCTCTGTAACCACGATTATGTTCTCACAACTTCATCTTCATCGCATCAATCTTCAATCAACATCATTGATTCTGTACATCAGTTCTGAAAACCGCAACCAGCATAACATCTTAAATCTTTATCTTCGACGACTCCAACCTTCTGCAACAATATACAATTCCAGTATCAACGGAGTTCGCATCACAAAAACACGGGCAAATCTGAAACTCAGAAAGAAGAAGAAGAAAGGAGATACAAAGGTATAAGAACTCGTATACCTGGAGGAATCCAATTTCGTGCTTCCCTGATTTTCTTTCACGATATCGCGGTTCTCCCTAACCTCCAGTGCCATGGTCGCGCCGTGTGGTTACCCTCATCCATGTTGAGTAGATTGACGAGGCTGAGTTTCCAATGGAAACTTTCTTTGTTAAATTAAATACAGAAAAGAGAAGGTGAATGGGGGGTTTGAATTAGCGGCTCTGATTTGGTCTGAGAAGTGAATCTGCACCATCTCCAGGGGAAGAACCCGAGATCGGACTACAACAGTGTTGGTTCATCGGAAATGGAAGCGACAGATCGAGAAGCAGATTCGTTGAAGAAGAACAGAAATAGGACGATGTTACGATGACGGTAGATCAAGGCGAAGGTCGGCAATGAGAAAAGGTTGTGTCCGCCGCGAAAGGAGGAAGACGAAGGCCGATTGAAGCGGCGATGGAGGTGAAGAGACCGACGGCGCCATCGAGAGGGTGAGAACGAGGAAACTCCGCCATTGCAATCCCTAACCCTTTTCCCATTTCCAATTTTCTCACATTTTTATTTTTTTATTTTTTTATATATTTATTTGTTTTAATTCCCATAATTAATAGTTCAAACAAAAGAAAAGTTGGGCTGGCAATATTATAATTGGTCCGAGTTGCCTGTCACTAAGGCCCATGGCTATATTTTTTGGAAGTTGTTTTTTATTGCTGAAGCTATACAAAAAAAGGGCTTATTGGACATTACAGGATGGGCCTAGCACCTAATATTAGTCAGACACCCTGATTTCAATACTACACCCCTTGTCCTCATAATCTTTAAGATTTTATTTTTTGCATATAATTTTGTCTATTTCTTTTTTATGATAAAATTCTAAGATCCATAAAAACTTGTTAGTTTTTTATTTATTTTTTGATTTAGGAATTAATTCTTGTTTGTTTGTTAGAATTTTCTCTATATAAAAAATAATGATAAAAAAGTGGTAGAATATTTTAGAACTCTTTAGAATTTCTTTTTAGAATCTCGATTAGAGTTTCTTTTCACTATTTTATTTTTCATATTTGGTAATCATTTTATTGCCATTTTTAGTCAAGATTTTTGTGATAGCATCGATATAACTCTCCGATGTGGAATGCTCGGGGTTAATTCTTCAATCACTCGTTCGAGGAAACTTTGGTAGAATTTTCTTACCACTTGCACAATTTTGAAGAGGCAACGGACCTTCTCCATTCGGTATCGTCACAACTCTATTTTATTCTTCATTTCCGTACTTTATCACAAATCATATGCATGCTAACATTATGTAGAATCCCCTCAAAATTCTAACTTTAGGTCTAACGATACATAATAACATTAGGTTTAGAAGTAAGCTAGTCCCATTTGACTTTTCTTTCTCTTTGAGCATACGCATCTAAAACTAAAACTTCTTTTTTCTTTTCGAAATTCAAAACACTTTAAAACTACTGATGAGAATCATGCTTTTGCTTAGTACGGGAAATGATAAGCGGGTCTCTTCTCGATCTTATTGTTCTTCATCTCAAGCACAGGTGTGGTTCAATTCTCAAAGACTCCTTTCATGACTAAGTAGAAAAATGGCTAATATCTCTCTCTTGAGGTCAATCAGTCATCATCTACAACAAAAATACAAAACAAATTCAAACCATTTTGTGCGTTCGAGCACTTTTCTTAAAAAACCCTTTTCAGGTAAGGACACGATTAATTTACTTTTGTGCCAATGCATAAGTCTCCAAACGTCAAGCTGCGGCAGAAGGCGGAATTAACTTCGTCCACAAAAAAACATCTACAACAAAATATAAACCAATTCAAATCTTTTGTGCGCTCAAGCACTTTTCTTTAAAAGCCTTTTCAGGTAAGGACACGATTAATTTACTTCTGTGCCAACGCATAAGTCTCCAAAGGTCGAGCTGCGGCAGAAGGCGGGATTAACTTCGTCCACAAAAAACACAAATAAACAAAAACATATGAGCCAAACTACGGTAGCTCTGATTCCTCAAAACGGATACGTAGGCATTGGGGTAGGGCCCAAGCGAGCACAATTTTATTTTCCCTACATTCTTTTTCTCCTTTCTTTTGCATGCATTCCTCCAGTAGTATAGTAAACAGTAAGCATAGATTAAACACACCCATAAGATAGATAACAAGAGTGGATACCGTAGAGTACTACGGGCGTGTGGGGTGCTAATACCTTCCCCTCGCGTAACAGACTCCCTTACCCGATCTCTCAGTCGCAAGACCGTGACTTCTCCCTTCTCAGGTTTTCTCGATGTTTACCTTTCCCTACATGTGGGGTAAAAGACGTTCGATGGCGACTTCATTGTTTTGATGATTTTCAGCCGGTTGTTTCAGCTGGTGACTTCACTGGGGAAAGGCCGACCAAATGCTGGTCTATCCCGGAGTCGCTCCTAGCTCTTGCTTTCTTTTCTTTGGGTGTTTATTTTTACATGCTTTCAGTTTATTCACTCATTCTTGAGCATACGTATGCATTGCATTTTACTGTTTCCCATATACTACTGCTGTACAGGATTTGCTTCTTGTTTGGGTTGGGATGTCACTATTGAGGTAAAAGGCCCAGTACCCATGCCAGAGTGCACTAGGACACTAGGAATAGAGTGGGGGCATGACGGCTATAGGACGTGGTCTGATTAGTGCAGTCATGTCATATACCACGCTCGGATGAGGTTCAAATGAATTACTATCGGCACCCACATCTGTGGGCAAGCCCATAGCACTTTCAGGCGAACCCGTGATTTTCGAGTTACCATTATCTTACCCTGACCTAGTTTTCATCCGTGAGTGGGGAGGGAATTTCTATCACAGGTACACATGGTGACTATGTGCAGATGGTTACTCACATTTAAATGGTAACTATGCTCAGACAATGACTACTGGTTCTGATGGCTATATTCTGGATTTCTGTTCCGACTTGATGAAGATGCTATATCTTGTTGGTGACCATATGGTTCTCAGATTTATTTTCTGAGATCCTGACTTGTTTACCTGGAGGTTCATTCAATCCTTCAATCTTGGTATTCCCAGCATGTTCAGAAATTCTCAACAGTATCCAATGTTCCAGAAGCCTTGATCCCGTACAATGGGAGATCCACAGGGTACTTGGTTCTTATATATGCAGAAGTTATGTCGGACCGCTGATCTGATGATACTCACACGATTCAGAGCAGTGCAGCAATCTTATTCAGAAATGATGGAACCTTGATCCTCTTTGATCCCATGCCTTTGCATACATAACATGGCTAACCACATGCTTAACATACATGTTCTGTTATTTCCTTAGAAATGACAGAACATGACATGACATTCATTCATGCACCCCATGTATATTCATGCATTCATTACAGGTATCCAAAGATTGGGGATTCTTATTCAGACCTGGGGTTCTCTTCAAAGGTTCAACCTGATTTCTCTCCACACATGCTCAGAGATCAGTGATGGAATAACTCTGAGTGGTACAAGCAAGCTTTGGCTCATAATCAGAAACTTCTTCAAGCAGGAAGATAATGGATTAAATACTCAGATAAGCCAGGTCATGGAAACTCTGATGATGATGTCTATTATTTCTTTAAGACATGATATGCTTGGTGATGCATATTATACTGGGGCACCTGGCCAATCGATTGAAGAAGGTATGTCATCCAGAGACCAAGTCCAAGACTGGATCAATTCAGGGACTGTTGTGTTCACATCAAATCTGAAAGGGGATTCTCTCGCACACTCGAGCATCAAGACTGCAGAAAGTCGTCAGAATCAGCAAGTCCATACGGAGTCAAGTCTCCTCAACAGTGGCAATCATTGGTTTCTTTAATGCATTTTCATTTGCATTCTTGCTTGTTTGTTTAAATATCGCTTGTATATAGAAACTTGTTTATTTTTGAACGAAAATCTTAATGCAATAAATATGCTTGTCTTGAAGTGTTCATTTCATTTTTACTCATCCATTCGTTATCACTCTTCAAATGTTTTACTTGCATATTGATGCCAGATTTCCTAGTCTTATGCTTAGGTAAATATTCAAAGGAGGATGACGACAATCTGAAAACGCAAAATCTCTGGTTGGTACGCTTTTGAGTAAGGCCCTGCTGACGATGTACAGGCCTTGTTTCAATCCCCAAACACCGGAGATATAAGGGAGATAGACCCTCGTCAACCCCTCCGAGCCTTTGAAGTAGGAGTTTCCTTTCTGTTCAGAAAAACCCTCATTTTAACCTTGGGGCGGGTAGTGTTCAGCTAATCTGTTCAAGCATTCAGAACTCATCAAGAGTGTGCATCCAAGGATACAACAATGGTTATCCATCAAAAGATTGAGGAAAGTCAAAACCACAATGGTTAACCTTCATCTAACAACAAGGTGTGTCTATTGACTATATCCCAATGGGTATCTCTCGCACATCAGGAGGTCAACAAATGACGATACTAAAGACTCAGGCAGTCACGATCACTTCCGACAAATCAAAAACAATGCAAAGATCAACGACTTGTTCAAAATGAAAAAATACGGATAAGAAAGAAACAAAAATCCCCGCTAAGTCGAAGCTTGAAAACAAGTCGCTTAGGCAAAAATTGGGGCATCCCGCTGGACTTCCAAATCAAAATTCAAAAGAATTTGTCCAGGCAAAAATTAGGGAAAGCAAGAAATAAATCAAAAAGCCTAAAAGGCGCAGAAAGGATTACCAATGAAAATCCTCATCAAAGAACAAGGTCGTCTGATCAGACACCAAAATCAGAAGTTAGTGACTGTTGTGTCCAAGAAACCACAGTGGTTCCTCAACCATCACAAACTCTTCTAGAGAGATGAACGCTTATGTTAGGTCAACTGAACGTAGGAATGGAGAACATCATGGAGAATGGGTGGGCACCAAATAATTTTGAGCCTTAAATCCTTTTTTCTAAAACCGTGAACCAGGCCACGTTACAACCCATAAAAGTCCTAACTGAAGCATGGGTCAATTCGAAAGCGTGCTGCAACGAGATAGCGTTTAACTGACTCCTAAGAGGTATGTTTGAATATCTGTTTTGGCATCATATGCTTGCATTATCTTTCATAAAAAAGAATTTTCAAATGTTTCTCTCTTGCTAGTGACTCGTTCGCAACAGAGTTGTGACGTTATTTCATTCAAAGTTTTTTCAAACTTCAAGACTTACATATGTGTTGTATTAGAATTATCATTCTCATAATAAACATTCTTCTGCATACAAAACAACTGATCAACATCAAGTAAATTTGCACAATGAACAAACGGTGAAGAGATCAATCTTGTCAGAAAAGAGAGGCTTGAATACCCTGTTGAAGCAAGAGTCAGCTTCTACAAGAGAAATGAGTAATCCAGAGGCATGTTA